GGGGGGGTGGGAAGCAGGGAGCAGTGGTTCTGGTTTGACTCACCAGAGCTGGCTGGCTGGTGCTGAGCTGGGCCCGTTTGACGGTAACCAACACTCACATCTCTGGAATGGACAGCTGCTCTGACGCGGGTCCAAAAACTATTTAAAAAGGCCCATAAAGAGAAATGGCACGAAGAGCATGCCACCCATTAATAAATAAACCTCAGATTTGAGGTAGTTGAGTAGAAAGACACTGCAAAGGTTAAGCAGGAATCCTATATATTATTTTGTAGCCAATACAAACATCCCTATTGATGTTCTGCCAAGCGTAGAGGATCCGAATGAACTAACACATCCCAAAGCAACAGTCCTCGGTTTATCCTGGGACTTGAACCAGGGACTCTCCAGTTCACAAGCCAAGTCCCTGTAGACTGTCCCCAATGCCGCATTCTTGAATTCTTGCTTGAATTGAATCCAGGTGGCGACTGATTTGGAGCGTCACAAACATTTCTAACTAAAACATTTGTATTGATTCAAAATTCAATAAATAATAATTATAATAATAAAAGGATCAAGTTGTTCAAGTTGCTGACAAATGTCAGCTTCACAGATCTCAGGCTTTCATACTTTTCTCTTTCTTGTCACCATAGATGTATGAAGAGAACTGGATACAGTGTTGGGGGCGGGCCCGTTCATTCCTATTCAAGCTTCCTTTCAGCCCATGAAGCCAAAATGACCTGACTGTATGTACATAGAGCAATAGCATGCGCACTTGCATTTTCCTCAGGCCCCGCCTCCGAACTGTTTACAGAAGTGTCACGTCCTGTCTCGGATCGGTCAAATGAATGGAAAGGGGTGATGACTCTGCATTTCTTTTTTTATCACCTACCGATTTAAATAAAGGCTATTCAAGAGTTTGCAGTGGGTAGTTGATAATTAAACTCTTTTTACAGACGTCTCTTTCCCAATCCCAATTTTTAGTGCCTGGATCAATGCCTGTGGGACAAAACTAACTATTTGAAAGCAGGAATTTGTGATATTTATTTTTCAGCTATTTGCAACATTTGACAAATGTACACATTATTGTTAAATTTTAATAAAAACGAATTGATTAGTTAATCCATTATGAAAAAAATATTAGCTGCAGCCTCAGATCCAGTTTGTACAAAAAAACAAGAAAAACACTGTAGGTCAAATGCCTCACATGTCAGTCAAGGAGAAGAAGCATCAGGGCTGACACTTTGCATTACAAGCCCACTTAAAAACATCTGAACCATCTCTTCAACACTATTAGTTTGTTTCGTATTGCCCATGAGCTCAGGACTTCTTCCCGGTGACCGATCATGACATGTTCAGCTGGAAGTCTGCTGATGTGAGAGGAAAAAGACAGAAGGCCGAGTTACGCAACTCCGAGATGGCCTGATGTGCAGTTCATTCTCCCACACGGCCAGTGGTCATCCCTCACCCTCCCTCCCTGCTCTTCCTCTCTCCCAATCTCCCGCTTCACACAGGATCGTACCCCCTGTTCTTTTTCCGGCCAACACAATGGAGGCATGGTGCGGTCAGCACAGAGCGACACACAGACACTCTGTGCAGGGCCTCAGAGTGTCTGACTGTCGGGTGTTATGTAACAGCGGTAAAACTTGACTGTCACATGTTGCAGTATGTGTGTGTGTGTGTGTGTGTGTGTGTGTGTCTGATTCGAGTTTGTGAGCATACTGTGAGTCATTCTCTGTTGAAAGTCAGTGTGTGTCAATGTGTTGTGTTTAAAGGGCCCCAGTCTATTGGAGGCTGGGACTCAGCCTCTTACGGCCCGTCCACACGACGGCGTGCGTTGAAGCTTCAACGCTTCTGCCCATTCACTTTGAATGGGGTGACGTCCCGCTTTTCCGAACTGCATTGTGGGAGCAAAGCATTGCTCGGCGGAAGCGTCAGCCAATCAAATCATATGCCAGTACAAGCTCTAACCAATCAAACCGCGTGCGTGTGTGTCCGGGGCGGGAGATTCATGTGATTGGTTGTTGGTCGAGTTTCAGACAAGCTCACCGGCAAGCTTCAACACACGCCGCCGTGTGGACGCTGCATTACACCTGGACCTCAGCACGAGCACTCGCTTTGTTCTCTGGACTACACTGTAAAAAATGTCAAGCTGCAGGCATAGGAACTACACACATGCAGCCCGAGGGAAGAGATTCTTAAGCTTATAGAGTTTTGATAAGTTTCCACATTGTATTTGAGAATGTGTGTAACACTGTCATTAGAACAATCACACGGAAAGGAATTTGAAGGTTGTCGCAGTGAAAGACTACTTGGCTCGTTGAAGGATTTCTGACGTCAGATTAAATAAAAACT